CACACACACACACACACACACACACACACACACACACACACACACACCATCTCTAAGTGATCTAAGCTGCTTCCTCTTTAGAGCATATGGTAGCTCCCTAAAACAGTCAAAACTACTGAGGGACATAATCAGAGATTAACAAAAAGGGAAAATACTGCTTTCCATCTGCTGGCTCCTCCTACTGCCTTGTTCCTAAACACACAGGGTGGTGGTGGTGTTGGAGCAGTGAGTGAAAGTCACCTGGTGAGTGCTGGAACACCTTTGAGCAGGGACATGAAGTTGTTTTTGAGATTGAGGTGGGTAAGGTCCTGGCTGTAAAAGAGCTGAGCCGGCAGCTCCTCCAAGCTGCAGCCCGACAGGTCGACTGAGTTCACCCTCTGGGAGGCAATCTGACAGAAAGGTGGGGGGGGGGGCAGTGACAGGACAGCACAATGAGGAACGTGTTCTCACAAGAGGCGGTAAAGAAGTGGAAAATCCTGCAATATTCATGGAGATGAATCAATCTAAATTCTGTGTTATTAAAGCAAAGAGTCGACACTTTGAGTACCTTTGAGGCGGTCCTGTGCCAGCGGAGGTGCTCTGTGTACGAGTCGTAGCTGATGTAGTAGGTCTGACTCGGAGGACCAGCTGAGCTGAAAGCCAGACAGTGGCTGTGTCTCCTCACTTCCTCCACCTGCACAATAGGACGGATTTTAGCTTCCTTGCAACTTTGTCTAGCCTACTTAATGACTGAGAATTTAAAAAGACGACACATTTCCCATCTCTGACCCTTTTTGTTTCCCCAAAAGTACATCTTAGTACATCACATTCCAACTTTTGAGAAAGCACACGCTGCCGTCCAGGTGTGATGCAAACACAGAAGGGACAACGACAACCAACTGATATATGAATTTACTCTATGACTATCCTGCACGGATTAAAAACCTAACAAACCTATTAATGAGATGTGTGTCAACTATTTTTTTTGGCTGGGTGCAGTGACTGATTCATTTTACATTACGGTGTTTGTCTGGTTTGCACAAACAAGATACAGCATGTTAATTGGTGAGCTTTAGAGATGCTGGGAAATTACCTTTGGTGAGAGCCAGGCTACCGGTTTAACAGTTTCCACTGTTAATGCTAAGCTAACTGTCTAACTGCTCAAGCTTCACATTCACTGTACAGATATGAGACAGTTTGCCGCAGTACAACTGTACATAATATTGGCTGTATAACAATAATACGGAGTTATCTCTCAGCCTGAGTGGTTGAGCTGATGAACAGGTACCGAGCCAGAATACTAGCCAATCGAGTTTGAGACACGACAACACTTCAGAAAGTACCTTTCCTCCGATGAGAGGGAGGATGTGCATCTTGCCGGTGTGGGCGTGTTTCACAGATGACACGATGAGGCAGGTTCCACTCAGTGTCACCTGGCGCTTCGACCAGCGGTTCACCGGCAAAGCCAGCTTCCCTTTCCGCACGTTGAACACCCCAGAGATCTGCACACGCTCAGAACCTCCCACACTCCGAGGCTTGCCTGGGGAGAGAGAGAGAAAAAAATTTGTTACATGAGAATAAAAGAGGTGACTGATGATCGTGAGTGCTGTGCTCATTATACACACTGATTTGATTTTTAATAATGGCCTTTATGAACAAAAGAAAATGTTATTTTTAGCTGTCTGGGATTTTGTGAATCAACTCTCTCACACTGGGTTTCTGTTTCAGAAACTGAGCACGACAGAGAGCTTTGTGGTTATGTAACCGAATTGTAGCGAATAGCCTGTGGACAGAGTGTGAGCAGTCACTCAGGCGTGAGTTGTTACATTTAACCCCTTGCTGTCACAAAAAGCAGCCACAGTTCAGTTACAGTCACAGGGTGAACCAGGGGATGGGCCAGAGGGAAACCAACTCTAAACTGGTTTGGAAGGGATACTCTCTCATAAAACGTGTTTCCTGGTCTGTGATTCTCTGCTGTGGCACACACACACACACACACACACACACACACACACACACACACACACACACACACACACACACACCAAGAACAAGAACAAGAGAAAGGGAGACACATGCAGAGTCTGAGGCACTGAGAAGCCTGAAATCAGATTAGCTGGTTATGTAATGTCTTCTAACATCACTAACTAACTCCTTGCTTTGGATTAAGAGTTTCATTTAGTTATTCTTTGATTTTAGACAGTATTCAATTGAGGCAAAGTTTCTGCACAGCTGCCTGTGTTTGGACAACATTTAACATTTTGATTATTATGATTCTTTTGTTAAAGAAAAAAGGATTTTGAAGAAAAACATGCTTACATGCCCGAAATAAAGACTTTCGTAAAAAGTAACCGAAATTCAGTCTAGCAATTGAAAAAAAATGTAAAAAAACGATACTATTCCAATTCAACTCCTTTATTTACCATGATAAAAATCTTGAGATTAAAACCAGACAAGTCTAAAAAAGTGGAGAACCTTAAAATGAAGCCATTAAAACAGTTTCCTGAAAAATCACGCCCACTGCACCTGTCCATCCAAATGTCCACGACTTATGCAACAAACGACTTTCATTAATCAATAACCTGTTGATTAATTTCTTTATTAATTCATCACTTCCATTATAAATTGCCAGAAAATGGTGAAATACGCTCATTTATATTTTCCAACCCGAGGTTACAGATTTCAACTGCTGCTCAGTTTTATGTCGATCAACTAACGGTTTCAGCCAATCCATATGTCAGAGCTTTTCGCCATTGATTTGTAGATGAAGGATCTGTCCATGTGACATGTTTGTTCTGTATGTACCCTCGGTTCTAACAGGAACAGGGAGTCCTGACAGTGCAGACACTGATGTCAGTAAATATAAATAAAGATATGAAGGAAGCCACTGAGGGACAATTCATGATAAACGTAGACCTCGTAACAAGCACACAATCAAGTCTCATGATATGTGATTCCTATTTAGCCAAAAGCCTCATGTGTAACTAAACAACCAGTCGCTTACATCATATGGTGTCTTTTACCATCAATGCATGAAGCTTATGATTGGATAAAAGTGACGTAAACTGACTGACAGAACAGACCGACGTGATTCTGTCACACAGACCGTTTTAAACTAAACAATAACATGGAATGTGTTTGGCGTGGGTCCACCCTTCCCTGTGTGTTCATATATACACACTCATACACCCTTTCCTTCCGTCTATTTCTCTGACTGGGGAACATCCTGTCTCTCATCAAGCAGCCAATGGCCATTTCCTGTTCATGCTCTGCTTTTTTTTTTTGGTGCATCTGGTCCCCGACAAGCCTGGTGTCTGACATTTCCATCCATATTACTGATATTAATAGGCAGTTACAAGAGCACTCTGTGGATTGCAGCTTAATCTGAACCAGCAAAAGAATTGTGGGCTGTATGATCAGAAGTATGCTTTGCCAGCCTGCAGGTATTTAGTGAGTTTTGGGCACATGTATCAGACACGTTTGCTGTATCTAACCTTGTAGAGTAAAGCAGTGACCTCTGGGTACTGCGGTTCTGAGCTGAAGAGGACTCTGCTGCTGTGACTGTCTCGGGGAGATCCGGAACACTGAAGGGGTGAAATCTGAGTTCCACTGAGGTCGCTTTTCTCTTACTGTCAGCAGTGTGTGTGTGTGTGTGAGAGATAAGAGAGAAAGAGAATACTCTGTAATGTGCATTTTTAACAGAGGGATTATGCAGAGTCAAACTCCTTTGGCTCTGAATGTGATCATTAACAAACAATTGATAATGTTCACACCGAGAAGAAGGAACGCACGGAGCAAAAATATTTTCGTGTGAATTATTGATAGTTCTACTTCTTCTGATAAATAAAGTCTTTTTTTCAGATAAGGGTTGCGAGTTAACTCCATTTTCATTGAAACTTTAGCAAGATGATGGCTTTCCTGACACACCAGCCTCTAGCTGCTTGTTTCACGGCCGCGTGTTGTCTGCAGTAGCTGGAAGGGCATAACTATACACCATGCTTTGCTCCTCTGTCATGTTACTGTGGGAGCCAAGAGAGAGAGTGTGTGTGTGTGTGTGTGTGTGTGGGGGGAGATTTGCCCAGCTCTCCATGCAACATCTTCAGGAGAGAGAAAAGCCTGATGCCTTGAGTGTACCTCTAGGTTAATGGTACGTGTAGTGATAGTGTGTTTTTGTCTTAACAAAAAGGAGAAAAGAATAAAGTGTGAATGATCTTTCAAGTAGATTTGAGACCGGTCAGTTTGAAGATTGAGAATGCAAGTTAAAATGACCTCGAATATATTCATTTTAGTAAATTAGATTTTCTGTTTCTTCCTCCAACATCCCATCTCTTTACCCTAACCGTATTAGCTGATGGTGTGACAAACAAGGTCAAAAACAATATTGAGTTGTGCTAATCCCATGAGAGATCAGAGCTGTTTTTCCATCCACTTACCCTGCTCGTCAGCAAAACAGGACCTTTATCGATAACAACAACAGCAACATCCACAGAAGAAGAGAAACAGAATCCACCCTGCCTCATGATTGGTGTGCCCAAAGAGCCCACCTGTTACCTCCAGATGTGTCTGCCTACAGGCCTCCAAACAGAGGGGTTGGGGTGGGTTTACAGGCAAAAACACTGGGTATTGTCCCACTGGGACAATTCAATACACTTGTTTAACAGTCTGACTGACCAAACACAATGACGGCACTCATTCACTCGTGGTACGCGTGGTGTAACTAACAGCTAATGGCTCATTGGTGCGGTATAGTAATTGGAAAGGAATGATAAAATAATAATGATGATAATAAAAAAAAATTTCGGGTTGCCTCTTAAACATACAGTACATGCTTTGAGGGTGATTCTTTAGGGAATAAATCATCACCCACCTGTAAAAAGAATAAAATGTTTTGAATTTAGACTTTTATACAACTTTAGACTCACCAAAGTAGAAGCGTATCAGGCAACCAACTTCTGGATTCATCCCCTCCCCCTGCACCCTCCACGGGTCTTCGAATCCCAGATTAGTGAGGTACTCATTGAGTATCTGAAGAGGCCTTTCATCATCTCCCAGCCGCCGCACGGCTCCACCGTGCAGCTGGACGAAGAGGGCCGGTGTCGGACTAGCGATGACGGGCTCCGGCCATCCTCTGCTGCCCTCTGGGACCTCCGGGTCAGGCTGGGCAGACGCTTGGCTGGACAGCGGCCGAGTCTGAGAGCTGCCGGGGCATTTGGATGTAGGTTCGATTAAGTTGGGGGCCCCTACACCGTCACCAGCTACGGTGTCACCCAGTGCAGTTGTCACTTGGCTGGAAGCACTGCGGGGGTCCGCGGTGGGCAGGCCCGCCTGCTGGTCTACAGCACAGACGCCGCCAGTTGGATGTGTTGGGGAGGAGGTGAGGTCCACTTCATCCGAGGAGCTCTCAAACGGGTCTGGTCCCTCTGTGGCGCTGTCACCGTTCGGACTCAACACCGAGGAGTCCGTACCCAAACCCAGTCCGTCACTGAGCGAGTCCTGGTGCTCCGTGCTCCTGGGTCCGCATGGGCTGAAGTCGTCACAGGTGCTGCTCTCCATATCTGAGCCGGAGTAGACCCCGTAACAGTCCGCCACACTGAGGCTCAAATCCACCCCAATTTCACTCAGGTAGACCTCCGATGAGGAGTTACTCGCGGTTTTATCATCCAACAAGTTAGAGGACAGTTTAGCATCAGTGTAATGCGGTTTAATGTGTTCATTCTCCTCTGCTTTGGAGGTTTTGACATCCACGCTGATTTCATCAGAATGTCCATTGCTAGCTTTACAATTATCGTTTAAGTCAACTAAAGCGGCGGCTTTGCAGTTAATTCTCAACACGGCCCCAGCTTTGCTCCCCTCCAACCTACTGACCACCTCTGTAGCGGTGGTGTCCACTGTGCAGAGCACCGGTCGGGGGTAGGAGGGCGTGAGCCAGTCGTGGACGTGTATGCAGCCGCGCCGCGAGTCCGATCTCACCCAAGTCTTATCCGAGGCCTGGAGCTGCTTGGACTGCTTCTGCCGAAGAAAAGTCTTCCTGTCCAGGCTGAGGGTGCTCAGCGGCGAGGCGGAGGGTGCGGGACTGGCCGCCTCAACGGAGGACACACTGGGTGAGCTGCTGGTCGGCGGAGCCCCCAGAGACAGATTCCTCTTGTGTCTCTGTCGTCTCTTGCTCAGCAAAGAGTTGACAGAAGCGGTGCTGTTGACAGACGTCAGGCTGTATATACTGGCCGTCTTAACGGCGGGAATGCTCATGTTTTTGGCCGCACTGCCGATAGCGTTGGCCACTTGGTTCTGATAGATTCCGTTCCTTATCGCGATCTGGAGAAGGGAGGTGGCTGCGAGTCCCTTCCCAAAGAGTTTGGTCTCCGCGCCCCCACCGTCATCCTCCCCGAGTGAGGGTCTCTTTCCCGCAGACAGCGGTGTTAACGTTAATCCACTTGGCTTCGCGGGATTACTGTCACTGCTAGAATCAAGTACCCCCTGTGGTGTTGAAGAAGTTGAAAGCGCTCCAGACTGGTTTTCCTTCACACTTTCCATCCTGTTAGCTAGCAACGCCAGTTAGCGTCAGTTAGCTTGAACAGCCCGCAGGTGAATGCTAGCCCCCGTTAGCTCACAGCCGTTAGCTCGCTGCACTGGCTCTGAACTCCCTGGGTGTGTACGGCTCCACGTTAGCTTAGCATGCTAAAGTACTGTGCGGTTTGTCCAAAAGAGTTGGTCCGCTACATCGTCCCATTTCGTAGAACACCCGTTAGCTCGCTCGAGGGAGCTAACCGGTTGGTCGACATTATAAAATGCTCTTTCTAGTTGGTCGACATGGAAGCTAACGCGAGAAGGCGCCACTGCAACTGTGCAGACCGATGAGAGAGTGACGGTCAGCGGTACACCGTGGACAGGGCGGGTCTCATTGGATATGAATTATGACGCCTTTGAGTGCTCCCGAAAGCTCGGAATTTGTAAAGCTGTGTACATGAGAGGGGATCTGACTTCTCGACGTGGTTAAAGCATTGATAAATAAAACCAAACAACTGGGAATATGCGAATTACCCGCAATGTGCATTATTTAGTCAAGAGCATAAGAAAACCGACGGTAAATTAATGAGTATTAGCCAGTAGTGGATGAAGTAGCCTACTCAGATCATTCTTATACAGATTATGCTTTGTATCCAGTGGTGGAATGTAATAGATTTAGCAAAAAGTGTTAATTAGTAAAGTATATAGTAACTAATGCAGTTCAATGTAACAAAGTAAAAAGTAGGGTACAACATTGTATAGTATAATACATATTTTGATATTCCAATAAATAAATAAAACAGAAGATCCTTGTAGGCGCGAGAGGTAGTTCTGTCAACTACAGAAGCCACGAAGTACAAGCTTCATTCAGTCGGTGAAGGAAACATACAGTGCAGCTATATTATCTTACTTTATCTGGCTCCACCGGTCACATTTTAAGAGCATGGTTTTAAACCTAAACTACGAGTATTGTTTAGTTTTATGATGTGATTATATTTCATCTCGTAAATGTATACAATTAAGCGTCCCCGACAACTCGCTGCATAGTTTATTTCTTGACAATAAGACAACATAGAAGCGTTGTAGCTCGTCTTTTGGCGCCACCTAGTGGGAAAAAGGCCGTATCACGATGGCGACCAGTAATTATTTAGAAACAGCTTATTATTTTACTCGTTACAAGTCAGTGGTGGAAGAAGTATTCAGATCCTTTACTTAACAGTGTAAATTGCACTGTAGTGGGTCATGGTGAAGCTATTTCAAACAATTTTATTTTGGAGTTGAATCCCAAACAATGCCTCATATATTATTTTTTGTTGGCACAAAATCTTAATCGACGTAAAAAGTACATTTCTCATGAAGTAGAAGTAAAAGTATAAAGTAGCAGATAATGGAAATAATCAAGTGCTATTTTCTCAAATTTGTACTTTAGTATCCTAGATGAGTAAATGTGCTTTGTTTACATTGCACTGCTAGTTAGCACACTGATACAACAAATCCTTGGTATGATTCAAAGTAGTTTCTCTCCCTTAATGGATCAGGGGTTGGAGTGTCCTTGACATAAAGCAATTCATAAAATCTTTGTGTTTCTATGCTTCCATGGAGCACAGATAAAGTGGAGATCTCTCTCTTTATTCAGCCATATATGCTCATTGTTTTTAAGAGAGACGTATCAGTGTGTTGTAACCGCCTTTGTCTTTGTTGATTTCTCATGCACACCAATGCTGTCACATTGCAGTCCAACAGAGGGCAAAGTGCAAGCTGCACTGTGACTTTATAGTTCAGCCTGCTCTCTCTCTCTTGTTCTCTTTCGCTTCCTCCCTCCCCCTGTCAAGTCTCCACCTTGTTTTCTATACCAGTCAGACTTTCACTCACCAGGCGATATATTTGCTGTGATTTTCTTGTTTATTGGAACATCAGTAAAGGTAAGACCCCTTCCTGTTGTCTAAAATGTTTATTTTTTTATTTAAAGTAATTTACATCAATTGTTAATCCACTCCTATGAAGCTTCCCACTATTTCAGCATGGCCAGTTCAATGTTCATTCATGTGCGGCAAACTGGACATATTGCTTCTCCCTACTTGAATGTTGACGGGCACTGATGCAAGTCCAAATCTGATTCTAGACCACCACTTTCAGTAAACAAAGGGGACATGTGATGGATGGTAAATCTCGGGGGGATTAATAATAAAAAGTGCCTCCCTGCCGATGCAGTAAGAGGGGGAGATTAGCCTACTGACATATTAAGACACTGAGCCCCAGGAGACATGTTTCCACTGGGATTCAGTCCATTTTAAGAGGCCATTTAATCTCGCAGTAAGTCTTAAAAGCCTACTTTTCTAAGGTCAAGTGAAAAACCCTGCCGGTGGGGATGTTATAATCCCATTTATTACTAATGCAAATGAACTTGCCTTGAATCAAGTGACATGGATTTGATACTAATTAGATGGACTTCTAATTGATTGAGATATCCTTGAAACAAGTAGAATAAAATAAAATGACATCATCCCGTTGGCGGATTTAAGTCAATGTATGAATTAACAAATAACTAAAAAGTCTCTGTGGGGATCAAAGGAACTAAAGGGAGATTAGTTTACTGCTCTAATAAAAAGCCTTTAGGGAAGGGGGAAAAGCAGAGATGGAGAGGATCTAAATGGAGAAGAAACTAGTAATACAATAGCTGTTCACAGTGAGGTGTTGCTGTCAACTTTTAGTTCTGGTATTTTGCACAACCACTTTCTATTTCTAAGAATCTGTCGGTTGAACTACAGACACTCGGATGGCTCTATTCCTGCTGCATTTGAGAAGGCAGAGGATGTTTGTTATACTGTCAAAAAAGAAAGAAACAAAGATGGCTAATCCATTTCAGAATGCCTTCCTTTAAAATGGGAAATAGAGACTATAATTAGAGTTGAAACTCAAGGACATTGCTGAGTAGTTCTCCCTATAGCAACGTGTGTGTGTGTATATGTGTGGTTGAGTCATTCACTTCAGTTTGTTTTTGGTTCCTCAGGCAGAGCTGACAAATTTAGATTGCAGCAAGTCTAAAAATGTTGAGAAAACAGCAGAAATACATAATTGGAGAGTAGTCAGTCATTAAGATTGTTTGCCCAACCCTGTCAACAGTTTCAGCCAGGACACGTCATACACTCTCAAAAACAGAGTGAGGAGTACATGTTTGTGTCGTGTTTGTATCATGTTTGTATTGGATCAGGTCTTTGTCATAGCACTTGTAATTGGTCTTTTTTAAGTCACTTTCTTTTTCTTCCAAAACCAAGGAAATAGGGGAACATGAAAGAGAAAAATAGCACAGTGATTCACTGCATATTTCCCAAAGAGTAGACCATTGTTTGTACGTTTTGGTGACATGGGGTACGCTACTGCATTTGTAACTTTAAAGGTACAAATTGGGGATATGAAATAGAGGGTTAGTACTTGTACAAGCTACTACCCCAGTGATGCGTATTTGTTCTCCAATATGTACACATCTGCTGTATGCCTCCTTCTGAGAATGTTGGTTACCTGCTCAGTTAAATGAAAGAAAAACAATTAAATTCAACTTAATTGTATATTGTAAAAAAAAAAACTCTTCTTTGGAATTGGGATCAATAATTCGCTCCGGTCAGACCTCATGATCCTGTTCTGATGATGTCATGTTAAGTTTTAGACATTTGACCACCCTGACCATAGTACAAATGACACTATTTGTACTAACATAATGAATCTGCTCACATTAAAGAATAACAGTGGAGCGGAACAGAACACGAGGTGACAGGATTGAACCTGATCATTCATGCTGCAGTGGTTCCCAGTAGGTTATTCTTGTACCGTTGCTCTGGTGAAAACGGTTGTATCATTGTTTACAGTGCTGTGGTCACATGGTCAGGGTGAAGGCAAGGTTAACCACAGCTCGTCTGTTGATCTCACACCCATTGACATGCACTGACATGCGTGTAATTGTGCTGGTCCATATCCTAAGACAAAGCCCAGAACTATGCACTCCATGGTTCACAGAAGAATACGGCAGGATATCACCTTCTTTAGGACTTGGGAGTAATATGGTCAAAATAACAGTGACCTAAAGGTATACTCTTAAGTATGTGATGTCAATGTCAGGCCACATTTTCATATGGGGTTTTAAGGAACAGGTAGATTGCAGGGATTATTCTATAAGACTAAGGTGTTCCCAAACAAATTTCCCAAAATGTCAAACTATTCTTTCAAGATTTGGGCCTTAATTTGTGTTAACACAGTCACTTTGAGTTACTAACAATAACACTAATTTGCTAGCTGTATGTAAAATTCTGCTTTTCCTCACGTTGAAACAAGTTTCGCAAGAATGACTCTCAATTTGTATCAATGCTGTCGTTGATAAAATGATCAATTTTTAGGTCTTAAAAATCTTTCCAGCTCCTTTAACCTAATCACAGATAATGACCTTATCATGAGTACAGAAGCAGAACTTAGTTCGTAGTTGGAACTTCATAGAAGTGATTTAGAGAATAACTTTGGAGATAGAGCCTCTCCCTTTTTTCGAATTATAGGACCGTGAATGCATAATACTAAAAATAAACTTTCGGGGAACATCAAAGTCATGTGAATAACTCACATTGTTATCATTCTACGGTCATGGTGTTGTGTCCTCATCAGAGGCTGTGTTTTAGTTGATGGTGATGAGTAATAAGATCTGGTGTTTCTTCTGTGACTCATCGTCACCTCTGATCCGGTCACAAGCCATAAAGAAGGTTTCCAGTGAATCAGTCTTTCGTTCACTTCCTTGTTTTTTACTTCCTTGTTCTTTTGGCCTTGACCCCACTTTGTTTTAGCATCCCATCCTGTAAAAGGATTTTTAGGATTACTAAGGCTGACCGGGTTTGAACTCGCATACGGTATCTGTGTGGGCCAAAGATATTTAACATCTGCTGACCTGCAGAGAAAATTCTCACTTCCCCTATGACTTTCATTCTTACACACCCTGCACGTCGCTTCCCGTATAGCTGCCCATATGATCAGTCATGGAGGAACAGCAGCGAATCGATCTGACTTACATCACCGAACGCATCATCACCATATTCTGCCCTCCTGGATGTCCAGAGAAGATCTACCTGCAGAACCTGCAGGAGATTATTCTCATGCTGCAGTCCAAGCATGGACACCACTACATGGTGAGCTGGAACACACACACAAAGAGCTGGAAGAAACACTCAGATCTTGAGTAAAAGTAGCAATACCACAACGCAGAAGAATCACCCAATCACATATATGTCTTGATTTGCAATTTCTGAATTTGTCCTTCCTTCTTCAGCTCATCAACCTCTCACAGAAAAACAAAACTCTCACCCAAATGAACCACAAGGTAATGATGACACTCCTGACTACCTATTTGAGAGGTAATATGTTGAAGTGTATATGCGTGTTACAGTGTGTGTGGTTTGTCTGTCAGGTTTTGGACACAGGTTGGGTGGATCTCCTGGCCCCTGACCTGGATCACATCTTTAGTGTGTGCAGGACAATGAAGAACTGGCTGCAAACACATCCGAAGCACGTCCTGGTGTTACACTGCAGGGTAAAACGTCACTGGTTTCCTCTGCGCACACTGACACTGACATCTCTTTTAAAATCAATCTATCGGTGAAATTGTTAAGTTCATTTATCCTGATTCTGCGGTTGGACTCCACAGGGATGTAAAGGCCGGCTCGGAGTTCTAGTGGCTTCTTACATCCACTTCAGCAACATGTCAGCCAGGTAACACTGATGCCATGTGAATCCATTCAAATGGTGTGTGTGTGTGTGTGTGTGTGTGTGTCTCACCGGAGATGATGACGTAACCATTTGCAATATGTAAATGATGGGAATGCTGACTAGTCTGCTACTAGATCCGTCAACAACATCAATATTGCAATTCAATTTGGCACAGATATTTGGGGTTCCCAAAGGATGAATGTTAAAGCGACTGTTTATTGTTGGACATACTGTATTTGCAGATCAAAGAGCGCTGACAGAACAATAGAGTGACCAGAGGCTGAGTCACTGTATGTCTCCAACAGCCAAAGGGCAGGAACAGGACGGCTGATTGAGGAGACTTTGAACGAGACTGTTATTTGATTCCCGGGCCGGGATCCTGTTGCTGCTGGACACTAGCGAATTTATTGACTGTTAATTTACCTGCATGACAGAGTCTGGGCCTAGAAGACACAACATTTTTTACATTTCGGTGGAAAGCATTTTTGGAGCAAACATTACAGCCTTTGTGTTTTATGTGGCTGCATGTTTTCTATTTCATGGTTTAAATGTGAGTTATAGAAAGTTATTAACATCGTCTTTTGCATGTCTAAGCGTGGGATGATGGGATAGGTTAGTTCGACGCAAATCAATATCCACTGAAAATGCAGAATAAAGAGGATGATGAGGTTGGTTTCTGCACTGTTGGCGCGCTCGTGTACTGTTCATGGCTGACTCATTGATGAGAAATATCTGATTGTGACCATTGTCCCTCTATGTGCTTGTGTGAGCGAGTGCAGGTATGCAAAGTTGTATAAAACTGAGTGAAGTCTGATTGTCGGTCGGGGCTGACAGGTTTGAAAATTAAAACAAAATCTGAATGTGAAGTCTAAAAGAACTTGTAGCCCGCTGAGGGTAGTGGCTACAGTAGCTGCTGCTGGCATAACACACACACATATTTGACTGAGCTGTCAGACGTTGAGTTGCATTGTGGGTAATATATATTCATTTGTCAAGGAAGAAGAAAATGCAATGCAAAACAGATTTTCCCCAAATTTAAGCTAACATATTTGGTGCTACGAATCGAGATAATTCTGTGGTTGAGAAAACAATATCACCACAGGGTCTATTTAGTATGTTCTAGTGCTTTCGATCACACCACATGATCTTCATCTCTGTGGGTTTGGCTGCACAGCATGAGTTTCTGCTGAGTTGCCCACCAGAGGCAGGCATCTCAGAGATAGACATCTCAAAACCGTGGCACATAAAAATCAAACTATCTGCATCAGTTAGATACGACTTCAGGTACGTTTAGGTGAACTGAGGAGTGTAAAATGCATCACCATCTGAATATATGCCTCTCTCTCAGTGCAGAACTTTCTCTCGACCACTTTGCCATGAGGAGGTTCTACAATGACAAACTGTCGGCTCTGATGACCCCCTCGCAAAAACGGTAAGAACAGGGTCTGTTGAGCAGGACCACTGCAGGTCAAAGGTGAGCTCTGGTTCAGGCCTCAGCCTCTGGTCTTCGGTGTAGGCCGAGGAATCTGATGTGACTGTTGACCTCAGGGTGCAGGGTCACTAATCACCTGATTTATCCTCTTGTGAAATAGTTACTATAATAAAGCTACAATTAGGTACTGAAACAAGGAGAAGGACTCAATGAACATCACAACCACACTTTTATCCAGTCACAACAGCATGAATGTGTTTCTCTGTGCTCTCCAGGTATGTGTGGTTGCTGGGAAGCATGTTGAAGGGCGGACTGAGGATGTGTCCCTCGCCGTCTTTCCTCCTGTGTGTTGTTCTGCACGGTCTTCCCAAAATACGACCAGATGGAGGTAAGCAGATGTCTAATCTGAATAAGAGGAAGCAAATAGCAGTAGCTGGCCGTTGTACAAGCCCCTTACATGGCATACACTGTATTCTTATTTTCATCTTATTGAGGAAGAAAAAGGAAAGCTTAAAAGGTAAAACCTGTAACGTCCAAAAGTCGTCCAAATCAAGTCAAAGTCTCAAACAGCTCTGCTTTAATGACATGCTTCTTGAACAATGCTGAACATTTTCTTTCTCAAGTGAACGCCATCTTTTGTGATGAAAGTCTTCCTTTTCCCAGCATGTAGTCTCTTCCTGAGAGTCTACCAGAGTCTACAAGCTGTTTGCACATCAGCAGTCTAGTAAGAAAGCACATCAGATCACATTGTAATCTCCTAACATGGCAGGATGTTATTCAGAATAGAATATAGTGTGTAATGTGTGTTTGTATCAATCTCAGCCATGTTAATGCAGCCCAGACAGACCGCCTCTACTTTGTGCTCCAGCCAGCTCAGCTGCTCAAAGGGGACATCATGGTGAGTGGCAATGTTTTCTTTTGATCCTTTAGGTTTATATATAAAGATATTGTTTTCTACTGCAGTATCAGGAACAAATTGTAAAATCTTTATTATGAGGAACCATTAGAAGCTAACCTTGCAGAAACCCTATTTTACTTGCCTTGTTGCGAATGTATAGATTATATTTCTGATGTATGTATTAAGGAAAATTAATATATATTTAAAAGAAAAGCTTGCCTATTGACAAATTTCACATTTTTTAATGTTCAGTTGACACTGGTTAAAAGACCCTCTAGTTTACGGTAGAAATGACTTGGAATTAATTAATTAGAAGTGTACCAAAGAGCTGTCTCTTTCTTTCTATAATTTGCATCAAATTGCAGAATTCTTTCCAGGAAAATTCTTAGAAATGATGTATTCCGAAATGTCGGACCTGTAAAATTGCAAAGTCTTATATGTTTAAACTGTATTTAAAAAATATGACAAAATAAATCACAAATATTAAAGACATAAATACTAACTAATTCAAAATGAATAAAATAAAACATAGTTCCCATTCATAAACCTAAATTGACAGGAAGTGGTTATTTACTGGCCTCTTATTTAGCATTAATGACTATGCAACAGAAAGCCTTTATTCTCAGTGAATCTGATTAGAGCAGCACATACAAGACGTGTGTCATCTTCTGTCTGATTTTAGGTGGTTTGTTATGATAAAAACAGCCAGTCAGCCAGCCGTCAGGTCGTCTTCCGTCTCCAGTTTCATACGGGCCTCGTACTCGGACACACCCTCACTTTCTGTAAGGCCGACCTGGACTGTGCCAGTGAAGGTATTTATAAGCTGCACACTGTTGTTTCAGCCACTATCACACTCTGCAGCAATATCCATCTCAATCAGTAACTAATAACTCCTTCAGTCTTCTTCCAATGTAAATAAAACACCTATCAGAACTAACCTTGGACCCTGTATCAGCTGTGTTGGTGTGCAGCTGTGAAATACACATGGAAATATGTCCAGTGTGGAAAGTTTACTGTCCAGCTGTCTGATTTTGTTATTATTCCAGATGCCCGGTTCCCAGAAGATGGAAAAGTGGAGCTGTTGCTTTCCGACAGCCCTGAAAAGATTACAGGTACACTTCTTCTGAAGCTTGTAGTAAACTAAAGGCACCAGCAAACACGGCCACAGTGAACTGGATAACAGAACCGAGAAAAAATATGTAGGTGAAATGTGTTTCAGGGGTTTTTCAGAGGTTTGCCAAGCTTTATTAATCCAGTATCCACTATATATTGGTCCAAGCTTTCATACTTTTATTGTTGTTCAAAAGAAACACGATAAAAAGTCGACCGCTATAAGGCTCTATTTAGCAGGTGTACGCCACATGTACTATCTTAGCTTAGCGTGTTTGTTTGTTAACATTTAATAATTAGCATAGTACCCGAAAGACAGCTGAGGCTGATGGGGAATGTCATTGGTTTTGCAGGTATTTAGTCATCAATCAAAGCATTGGATAAAAATTTCGACCTCATTGTGGCGCTATGGGAAGAGTCAGGGAAGCCATTATGATTCATCCTCTGGGGACAATGAATGTGTGAACCAAATGTCATGGAAATAGTTCTGATATTTTAATGGGGGTCAGAAACCGTGGGCCGACAGACCTGAAAAAGTAAAGTTATCCAGTAATGTAGGAGGTTTTGTTTATTCGCCTGTCATCTTGTCTGACCCCGTCGTTGAACCACTGCTCAAACTGGCACATGGACACCCAGAACACACTCACACGTGCACAAAAAACCCTCATCCACACAGACATATTATTTGGGCTGTGAATGAATAACACAACCATCGAGTTTAACAAACAGTCACCCAGGTGGGGGCAGTGTTGGACATCGGGAGGAGGGCATGACAGCCAAACTGGCACTCAGCGCTCATAATCACACTCCTCGCCTCTCAACAGGAAGCAATACGAGGAGTTATCACACACACACATCTGACAGGAATTCTGACTGGAGATACTGTACATGCTAAAACACAGAGGCGGGCAAAACCAGGACACACACACACGCACACGCACATGCAAGACACAGACATTGAGCAAAACCAGAATTAAAGCTCACACTATTTCTTAAATCAAACTTCAAATGAGATCTGGTGTGTGCCGTTGGTGTTTAACTGACTCCTGACCAGGACTGCCTCTTTGTCTGCTGGTCTGTTTGTCATTTCCATGTGCAGGCAGAGAAGTGTGGAGCAACGGACGCTGTGTGACGGTGGACTATAACACCTTAGACCCTTTGGTTAGACGAGATTCATACCAAGACACGTCTTCTCTTGAGACAGGTGAGCTGCATTCTAATGTTTTTCATTAGATAACGTTTTTATTGCTTTTCTTTCACTTTCTCTTCCTGTTGTTCTCGATTCCCGTTGAGTCTCTGGTTTAATTATTAGACAGGATTCAACAGCAAAGCACTACTTTTGAAGACACAGCACATGATGGGAGATAAATGAACGTGTCTGCTCTGCTCTTACATGATGGTGACCTTTATTCTGTTCCCATGGTGGCATTCTTAGGAAAACTAGACTGCCAATCCAGGGCTGCTTAGTTTTGACTTTTAGACGTTTTACCTCCTTCACAACTAATGATTTGGCCTCCATCAATTCCTGACAGACTTGTCTGGTTCTTTAACTAATAAACGCTCTCCTCGGTTGACGCTGCCAGAAAGGAAGCTGTGAGAGCGGTGAGAGTCAACTGAAACAGTAAAGCTGTGAGCCGGACTGACAAACACCGCTTTCACTACACATGATTTCCAGTAAATGGTGTAAAACATGCAAAATCACAGGCATAGTTCTTTAATGATCCTTCTACTAATCTGTTTTTATACAATGGATCAAAGGTCTGCATGTAATGTAAGATCAGTTGGTCTCAGAGCTGAACGAGAGAGAACTGGATCAGCTCTTTGAGAGCGCAGGCTTCCGCAAAGGCCATGCCCTATCTTGCACCGTTAATAAAAGTGAAAAAATAATTAGTTTCCACCCTGTGATTCGTATCCGCTCCACAGAAAAACAACAACAAAAAAAAAATACATTCATAACTAGAAGGGCACAACCCCTTCACTGAAAGAAGATCAAAGAACTGGAGGCTTTTCTCGATGGAAAAGATGTTTTTGCTCCTCTCCCTACTCACTTCAGCAAGCGTTTGATTGACAGATGGTTCATCCAGTCACCTGCCAAGTATTGCTTTTGAAAGTGAATGCCCTTTTCCAAACAGTCTCCAATGACAGCTTCGGACATGGTTCAGTGTAGCAATCCATCTGGCGGTCAGGTTAGGTGGGGACCAAAATGGAGCTAAAAGAAGACTGAATAATGGACATAAATTCATCAGGTGGAAAAAAACACCACCAGGTGGATGTGGAAGTTGGCAGCTGTTTGCTGACATGTTAATCTTAACAACTTTGAGAGATGATTTGTCAAAGTTAAGTGTTTTTTTTCCCCAGCTTGTTGTGGAGTTTTTCCTCCCCAAAGTTGCCAAAATACATCAGTTAATGTATCTCCGGCTGCTCTCCAGAAGTCGTATTCCTCTGCGGGTGCAGATCCAGTCTGGGAGATGGTCTGTTTAGACTCTGGTCTTGGCTGTGGTCAGTGCTGTGGGTAATTGTCCGGTCATCAGAGTGACAGTTTACAACTGTTGTGGTCATGATGACTGTTCCTGGGAATGGGCGTACATGACAATCATGTAGACTCAGCCAGACCACACCCTTGTATTTGGAGGTGGCTGTTTGTGAAAGAGTTTCCATTTAGGTGGAATAACCGTTCGCACACACAGAAAAACACCAGCAGAAAAACACCAGCACAAAAACACACATCCAGATAGCTGAAACAATCACTTAAAGCGGCGGTTGAGGTTTTAGTTCCAGCTGTTTTATGCCGCTGCTAAATCTGCTCTGCCAAGGCATGTAATTTAAATGGACCGATCACTGATGGAGAAATTCACAAAAGTGGCATGTAAACACACATTTACACACATGCTCACATGAACGCAAACACACACATGACCATTACCTTTAACCGTCAGCACACACGCATGCAACATCAGCATAATCAGGGTGCCAGCAAGTTAGCAACGCAGCCAGTCGCAAGAATGTTGTTTTCAACCCCAGGTGGTTCTACTTTACCCTCTCAGCCCACTCACACCCCTCCCCTCCACTGCCCCTATCTCTCCATCGCCCCCATCTTCTTTTACTCTCCTTTGCTTCTCTTCCCGTTTATCATGGTCTTCATTTTTCCAGCTGAAGCGTGTTGCTTTCAGGTTCAAGTTGCAGGTTGCAATTTTTCCAATCTGTCCCCTTCCCCCTTCTGCACACAAGTCTCTCCAGAGCCCGCCCCCATGTTTACATTCCCCTCTCCATATTTGGCCAGCTCAAGGTCCTTGTGCTTTGTGTTTCCCTTCTTGAAAGTGCATTGTGTGTGTGTGTGTGTGTGTGTTGCACACACTCCTCCACCGGTGTGCAGATATATGTGCTTCCATGCAGCCTGGTGAATGATCCACCCTTCGATTTCCTTCTATTGCTTTCCCCCTTCGACATGAAAATGCATGAGCGTACACCCTCTGCACAGCATTACCTACCTGTGTCAGCCGGGGCAGGATGCAGCGGGGAAAGAGGAGGAGGGATGAGGCAAAGCAAGGGTAATTCTGTAGTGACGGTGAAGGCGGGGATTGGTAGTGCAGGGACTGAGCAGCCGAGGAAGTAGTGACACGAGAGAGGGGAAAGAGAGAAAGGGGGGGGGGGGGGGGGACTGGGGGGGGCTGTTAGCACCTTAAGAGAAAGAATGTTCTTTCTTGTCTTCCTGTGGCAGCCTGAGAGGACGACAGCAGAGGAGCAAACTTCAACTAAGCTGGTCTGAATCTTTTTCAGCCTCCCTTTTTCCTCTTTCCGTTTGTCTCCTCATCCTTTTCATTCTGTCCTCGTCCTTGCCCCCTCTTTCAGCTTGTCATCTGTTTCTCTTTTCCTCTTTTTCTGACTCCGAAGGGAGGCTTCAGAGAGCATTTCCATCCTGTTTCTAGTCCACAGTGGGAACAGTGAAAGTTTAGTGACGGACTGCTGGTGAGTAAGTGAGCTGCTTTTTCACGCTAGTTTGGTATTTTCTACAAAAGTTCTTACAGTGTTGGGGAAATTTACACAAAGTGTTTACCAGTGTTTGTGTGAACGTACTAGTGTGTGAGAGACCTAACAGACCAGCTGTGAGGTTTTACCATGCCTGTCTGGTATTTGAGTTTTATTGCCTCTCTGGACTTAAGAGCTGCTCATACAGCTCTGGTATGCTCTGTATGTATTGTTACGGTCACTGTACGAGGCACTTTTATCTCATTTGAATGTAACGACCTTTATCAGGAAAGGACTTGCTTGTTTAGTTGTAATACGCACTGTCTAGTACATTTAGAGGTGCAACTTCCTATAGTTTTCATTAAAGAAAAGTCTAAAACCAAAATGTATTCAGTTTACTATCATATTTGACAAAAAATAATAGAATTGTGAAGCAAGTACAAGGGAATGCTGGGCATTTTTGCATGAAAAAACTACTTAAACGATGTATCAAATAATTGGTTCATTTGATTCATTTCTTTTGATTGAATAACTGATTAATCGATTGATTGTCCCAGGTCTAGTAGGTTTCCAACTTGCTGTAAGACTTAGAAATACACTCTCTTGTTGCAAAAGACAGTTACAATATATATATATGTGTGTGTGTGTGTGTACGCGCAATCAGCTCTATTTGACCTCAGGTGCACGTCTATGATGGACGCGTCCTTTGCATGACACACACACAGACAACTAAACACGCATGCATCCGCCAGCCTACACAAAGGGCCTCTGTGTTATCTACATGGAGTGTGTCTGAAGTGATGTCTGTGGTCTAACAGGTGGTGTGTTTGTGTGTGTGTGTGTCATGGTGAATCACATATAGTAGTGCAGGGATATATGTAGTAAGAGTATCTTCAATACAAAGGTGTTATTTGTGCTAAAGTTAAAAATGAGTTAGTTCGTCAAGATTTTACATTTAGCTTTGATCAACTCACTAAAATCTCCCCAATCAGTGTTCTCCATGCAGCTCTGTTCACAGATTAGAGAAGATAGGAGTTAAAAAATGTTGATATGCTCCTTTACTGGAGCTCACCTTCAGTTTTTACAGTGATGTCACAGCAATACGCTTTGTGATTTGTAAACATTTTGCCTTTAAGGCTACATACATGCACATACATAAACCACTAATTGGCGGAACTGCTGCATCCTACATCATTAAATATGAAATAGCAGTTTTGGGGTTTTTTTTTTGCAGTTGAGGACTCCCTGATTTCATCACGTCCTCCTCACATCTGACACCAAACCGACACGCTTGCTTCTATAGGTCACCTTCTCATCTGTTTTCACTCTTCCGTCAACACATAAACCTTCTGTTGACCGCTGTAATTTTGTTTTCACAGCTCCACCTCACGTCCTGGACCCTGGAAATGGCAGTTTGTTTGCCAGAGTGAGGAAGAAGAGTAGTGAGGAAGGAGCGTCGTTCCGCCTGACCACCAGCAGCCCCAGCTGCAGTGACCAAGCTCCGTCTGCCAGCAGTGACTCAGGCCTGTCTGTTGTGTCTCAGGGGTGGACCGGAGCCGGAGGGAGCAGGGGGGCTGCACGGGACAAGTGTACCCAGGCAGGGAAGCTGCTCTCCGGGTTGGACTTTGAGATTGCTCAGCCTCTTCTGGAGGTCATGACTGAGCTTGCTGCGTCCAGCGGATGGGAGGGGGAGATGACTGGAGACGACCCTGAACTGGGACACACTATCAATGGAGAGGCCTCGTCCAGCGAGAGGGAAACTGACATATTAGATGATGAGGAGGACGTAGATGGCGTAGCACCTCCCGCTTCAGACATGCCGAGCTCAAGCAGCATCTGCTCCGTCTCCTCTGAGAACCTGCCTGAAACTCAGAGATCAGCCCACGCCGAGTACTCCACGCACTCCTGGGTTCGGCAGCAGCAGATGGTTGACGTCGTCACTGATGCCTCCATTCAAGTTGATGGGGAAGAGAGGTTGAGCCGGCTGAGAAAACAGAGGCCGCCGCCTCTGGTGGCTCCTAACACCCCACCTCGAGGACTCACCAGCAGGGAAGCGGTGCAGAGGGGGCCGGCAAACGAGGATGGCGGGCACAACGTCACACAACACACAGATGTTACACACGACATACAGTCCGTTAGTACCGCACTCGCTTCATCTTGCCAAGATGAGGATTTGTCGTCGTTAACCACAGATATTGACGAGTCCATAGAGCAGCTGAACCTGCTGATTCTGGATCTGGACCCCACCTTTATTCCCGTTCCCACCAGCTGTGCCCCCCTGTCCCGCTCTGCCCCCCTCCACTCCAATGGCCTCAGCCACACGGGAAATACCCATCTGTCAGGTAAGACAGTGATAATGATTGAAGCATCACACCACAGAATAAAAATACTAGTTTCAAATGATGCCGAATCCTTATCTTGCCTAGCAGAATGGCTCTAGGGTTGGCGCTGTTGATCGGTTAGTCCACCAGGCTGAAATCTCCAACAACTATTGGATGTATTACCACGAAATTTTGTACAGACAGTCATGGTTCCCAGATGATGAGTCCTACTGACTTTGGTGATCCCCTGGCTTTTTCTCTAGCGCCACCAGCACGTTTTGATTTTGAGTGAAAGTTTTGGGTGGTTTGTCATGAAATCTGTCATGAAATCTGGTACACACACGATCCAATCTTTTGCTTCATGACCAAATACCTGCAGAACGACTGTCATTCCCATCCGCCTGAGCTGCACTTTGTGTACCTTGTATACCTGCTAAGCCTCAGCACATTAACATTGCTAGATTAGCATTTCGCTCAAAGCCCTGCTGTGTTGAAGAGCGGACAGCGTGCAGTGGATGTTTACGAGGCTGATCAAACCTCAGCACTTATAGCCAACATTTTCTGTCTTGCTAAATACAGCTATAACTAAAAATATACGTATTTTGGGTAAACTGACCCTTTACCTTGGTTCAATATAACAGTACCTTTACACAGCTCTACTTGTACAGAGACATAAAACAGTCCACTGTAATACTGTGACTGGCTGAAATGCCACGCTAAAGAAAATACATGTGTGCCAACAAGCTGGCTGGCAGATGAAGCTTGTACGTTGGACGTGTTATATTGTGGAGCTCAGTATAGCCTGCACTTACAGAGAAACATTCATAACCCAGACCGAAATACTGAAGCGCTGCCCGATTGTGGAAATCTACATCTGGGTTTGTTGAAGAACAGAAGGTGTGTTTGTTAGTGCGCACAGTGTTTGCTGAAAGGGTGGAAGCATTCGATTAAACAGTTAGTGAATATTCCTGCAATGTAAAATGTGTTTACCCTTCAATCCGTCTTAGTTTGAATGGAAATGTACAGCGGTGGAAGAGAAGGTTCCATAAGTGAAGTATGTGTGAAGAAGGAGCAATCTGACCTCTCACCTCAGTGAAGCTGTCATGAGTCCATAACATGAGAGAGCTCAAAGCTTTAGCAGATCTAGATCCAGAATCAATCCACTGCATACCTTCTGATTAAACTATAACACAATAGTTAAAATCCTGACAAAGAAAAGGAAGTTTTAATAGTGCAGGTCAACTATTTTGAATCTGGGATAAGGCAAACACGTTTAACATGTATTCTCTATCAACAGCAGCAGTCAGGGAGCCGTCGGGACTCTTAACTGTCGTAGTTCAGGATTTTAACATACTGGCCTATTTATCATTCAGACCTGCATGCCTGTTGCTTTCACAGCACATCAGGGTAAAATTATTCCACCTTTTGTGACGCACCATAAAACCTAACAGACTTGTGGACGTCAAAAAAAGAGCTGATTTGAAAATGATTCAGGCCCATCGGTCTGCAATCTGTCTGTCTGCCTCAAAGCCTCTGGATCAAGAAGCTAGAATGACCTCAACAACTTTGCCAGACTCGGCTGTGAAGCCTACAGAATACAATTTACTATTACACACCAATATTGCCTAAAATAAATGCACCCTATTTCATTCTCTCCAGAATTGTCTCCAACACACCTGGTCATGCAATTCAGGCATCATGTAATTGGTTAATGATAGCCAAATATCTCATACCACACAGGCTACAATATAATCAGATGTAATTCAGATTTATTTCTATTATTTTCAACCTGCAGTCTGGCTGTATTGCTCATTCAGCTACAGAGCAACAGTTGTAATAACTGTGTGCAAAAAAGCTCACCAATAAAAATATAAAGGAGGCCGGGAATTGTTTTTATCACTTTTTTAATACAATTAGTCTTTTAATAAGTTTTTTTTTACTGTCCCTTGTATCATACACTATTTGTTTAGTTTAAAAGTCATCAACAAAAGTATGAGGAAGGGAAGTTTTTTATGGAAGACAATATTGCTGTAATGTTGCTCATGTACAAGAAGTTTGAAGAATGCAATTAATTCACAAATATCAGACCTTTGTGACTTTTTACTTCAGCTACACTGCTATGAAGTTGTTGATGTGGCGAAAGCCAAAAGGTGTCCACTGCCTTCATTTTTATTTACTATCTGGAATTGCTGGAGGATAGAAAAGTTGTTCCTTCGAAGTAGTCTACTCATGAATTCACTCTCACCGATGACTGCTTTAGCTGTTTGACTTGGAGACGACCTGATATCCTCCCCAAATCCAAAGATGAAAAAACGGATTAACTAATTTTCCTGACAACAAATATCCTTTTCACTTCCAGTTGTTCTTGTTTTAGTTGATTTGATTCATTTGCATTAAAATATACAGCTTTGTTCATTATTAAGTTATTTTTTGAGTTTCTTGGTGCCTATGATTGTTTGACAATCATTTTTTTAAGAGGCTATATTGTAAATGAGGTCTCTACCTCAATGTATTTCCGAGTTTAAATAAGGGTTGAATGAGTATCAATTCGACATGGAGCCAATAATGTGTGAACAGAGGGGGAAAGGTGTGTTTAGCTGTGCAGACAAATAATGACTTGATTACGACTCAAAAGTTTCGCACTTGGGACTTGATTTGGGACAGCTTTGTCAAGACTTACTTGCAAAACCTTTTAAAATCTTGAACCTGAACATGTCACAGTGATGATTCCCGTTTTCATGACGCACGTCTGCCATCTTTGGCTCTCCATCACTGTTTCTTGTCCCCCCGCTGGCACATACGGCAGATTTACTCCCTCTAATATCCACTGGGACGCAGCCAGGAAGAAGAGGCACATTTCTGCCGCGACCTCCACCCTTGATTCATTTTCTGTTTGAGAACAGTGGGTCATAGATGTGTGGGTGATATCATTGCTTCCCAGCTCTTTGCATGCGGAGCAGCTGGTGCATCAAAGCTAACCCCGAGTGGGCCCGGTGGTTCTTATGGGAGCTCCTGACAGTCCAGAGCATCCGTGACAGCTCCTGCATCTTCAACCCCGCGGCCATGTGCCTCGCGGGGTTACATTACCGCTGACATTTAACCTCTGACCTGTTTTTTGTACAGCGTCAGGTCGATGAGAGGTCTGGTGGCTCTTCTCCCGATCATGGAATTTGAGCACAGGAAACGGAGCATGTGTTTTTGTATGTATGTGGGTAGGCGAGTTTGAGAATCTCCCGAGGGCATGATTGAAGCAGTACCACCAATATTTCACTGCTGAGTTACTGCAGCAGTTTGAAACGTGTGTTTTTCAAAGCCATGTTTTGAGGAAGGGGTTTATAAGTGATCAGGAATGCTTTTGAAGTTTTGACACAACACTTTGCTCTCCAGTGTGTCTGCATCGTGCCCTCCTTCCTCTGTCTCTAATCTTTGGAGGTGAAGTCTTCAAAAGTGAATAGCCTCCTCACAAGTACAGCGGGAATCAAGTGATACTCGACACTGTACAAAAAACAAAAAAAAACACCCTCAGCTGGCCCTCTGGTGCAGAAGAGGAACCGGATTAGTTTCAGTTGGACTAGTATGCGAGCTTGAGATGCTCGCAATGAAAGCGGAGCTCACAATGTTCCACATTGCTGTTTATAGTTGATATGCACAATTAAGCGTGGTCCCATATATGGTCGACCTCAATCATGACACACTCGTCAGACTGTAGCTTCTGTGTTACGGTGTGTATTTGGTGTTTCCATAAACTTCCAAGGTTGCGTTACAGCAGTGGTTCTCAAACTGTGGGGCGCGCCCCTCTAGTGGGGCGCGGTGGTATTACAGGTGGGGCGCAGGGGGAAATGCAGAATCTTTTTTTTTTTTTTTTTTAAGTAATTAATAAATACATGGCAAAATGTATGGAAGCCCGTTTCCGTCACTGTGAGGAAAAATTACAGATCCTGTAAGTCATTATAATGAGATACTATCTCAAACTAATGACTTAGCATCTCATAATTATGACTTAGCATCTCATATCAGCCAATTGTAATAAGCTATTTTTTGCCAAATTCTAGTTCTTTTTTGCACAGATTGAACTTTATTTGCATTGTTCTAACAAAGTGATTGCACATTTTATTTGTTTTTGTCTGATGGAGCAAGCTGGTTTACTTGAAAGTGATTGCAATTTTCTTTATTCTATTATTTGAAAAAGCACAGATGGAGGAGTCACAAAATGTTATTTCAATAAAAATTCAACATAGACCATTTTGTTACAATTTTGTTGGGGTGGTGGGGCATGAACATTTTTTTTCCTCCAAAGTGGGGCGCGACAGAAAAAGTTTGAGAACCACTGCGTTACAGTAACATTTTATAATTTTCGTAATATAACTTGTGTTCTACCTGAGTACAAGAGCTGTCGAGAGTTTTACAAAGTGTTTCTACCGTGACAACCTTCTAACTGCGCTACTCATGGCACAAGTAAACTAGCTACCAAGGCAACCGAAAAGAATCCTCGTGACACTTTTTGGCTTTTTACCTCTTTCGCCGTCCCACGAGAGTTTTAACACCATTCACGCTCCCAGAAAGCAGAGCTTTCCTCTCAGTTTCCATATTCACCAACAGCCGAGACAAAGATCCAGAGCGGTACTTGCTTGCACCGGTAGCCCACGTTACGCTTGTCAATTAAAAAGATAATTTCGCATCTCAAGAAAAGTTTGTCGTGAAGCTGTTGAAGTATAAGACTGTGAAAATACGTAGAACGAATACACACCCAAAAGTCGCGCAAGTCAACGTTAGCTAGCTGACATTAAACTTTGTATAACACTCACTGTAACCTTGCACAGCCGGTCCAAGGTCCTGTGAGTTAGTAGCATTAGAAGAGACGATGCTTCTGAAGATGTCGATATTTAAGTGTTTTAAAAACTAACCAGTAACCTGATGATGCACTCACATCTGAAAAGAGAACTGGACCGATCGTCCGACAGATGTTTTGTTCCGACGACTCGCCATAATGTTCCACCATCTGGTCACGGTGAAGTCTTGTTTGGTCACACAGGGCCTGACCTGATGACAGGAGCTGCCCAGTGCCGTTAAGACGCTTTTGTCAGAGACAAACACGCCAACACATGAACCACCGTCATCACCTTTAATTGCCATTTCCCAACAATGCGTCAGTGCTGTTTAATGCTGTGTTTTTGTTAGACCAAACTGTTTGTGGACATTTCATTTCATAGAAGAATACATGACTGTGTTTGATTCTTTGGCTGATTATATTCCAGATTATAGTCGGTCTGACTGTCTGGCTCTCCTTATCTGCCTCCCACGCCCGCCCTCCCCTCTCTCGTTATCTCAGGTTGGAAGCAGCAGATGCAGGTCAGTGACGTGACGGACTACGCTGGTCTCCATTCTCCAGGATGGAGGCGGGATGGTGCTCAGAGCTTTAGAGGCTCGCCCGTCTGCACTCCACCCTTCTCACCATCTCAGGTGATCCCAATTTCCCAGTTCCTCGCAGACACTTTGACACAAATGTACTGTTTTCAGCAAGACAGCTGTTTTGAGAGAAAAAAGCTGTTAAAATGTACACTATACCTGCTCAGCAGCAAACAGCAGAGAGACACAGTTAGAGACTCGCTGGTGAACATAGGGGAGCATTTAGCAGGAGTATGTGGAGACCAAACATAGAGCTATGTCTTGATTTAAAAAAATAAATAAAAAATGCATTGACGGGGGTTGATGGCTCTTGTAGCAGTCTGGAGCTCTGCTATCCGTCAGCTGCAGTTCCAAAAAGAGACGTAGAATATCACATGCTAGTTTACATACATGATTAACTTGTATGATTGTTTTTTGTGCAATGTACTATGTCACCTAAGAATCCTCACTTTAGATGTTGTTGCATGTAATGTAATGTTTATTTATGATGTTATTGCATCTCAAACTGTTGCTTGAATTTATGTGGATTTATTTACTTTTTTTATTGTTTCAGACTTGTGCTCGAGCTTGTTTAACGTCGGTCTTGAATCGAATACAACGCCAATTTGGTCTTAATGTCTTGACTTGTCTTGAACTCCCAAAACTTTCAAAGACTGTGAATTCACGTGTTATTGAATTACATAAAAGAAAAAGATTTATCACTTTAAAATCAGTTCAAATGTCTGTATAGATTATGATTATGTAACTTTATCTGCATCTCTGTAGATGTTTCTTTTCTACCTTCCTCCCTCCCTCTTTTCTTTTTTTTGATGTTTCTGCTCTTGCACTCACTGAAGATACGCTGGGTGGCATGAATGGCCAAACTGTTTACACCAAAACAGAGGCTGTAGCCACACACAGATCACAAGACTGATGTCTGCTGATGTGTGTGTGTGTGTGTGTGTGTGTGTGTGTGTGGGCTTCTTCGCCTGTAAGACTTACAAAAACATGTTATTGACTTTTCCCCTTGTTTTTTTTCTTACTTTCTTTTATCCTTTTGTTCTTTTATTAAAGCATGGACATCTCTACAAAACCAACACTGTGGACTATCGGGGACAGACAGACAGCCCTGACATTGTCCCAGCTACTCCGTCCTTCCCAGTGTCTCCTCCGACGCCCTACGGTAAGAGATAAGGTCAGAATGGACATTTGATGCGTCTTGATGTGGGTGTGTCCGCAGTTTGGAGTCTTATCAGCGTCTGCCTTCTCTTCCCAGTGAAACATTTCTCAGAGTTGTCCCCGCTCAGGACTGGTGGGCAGTGGGACCAACACAGCTGGACACAAGGTACACTTCCCAGAGAGAGTGTGTGTGACCATATACTGTACATGTATATGTGTGTGTGTGTGTGTGTGTGTGACTGGCGAGACCATTAGAGTTTAAACTCCTTGATTGCTGCCGGACAGGGTTCAAGGGCTGGCTGGAATGTCCTCTTGGCATAATTTACCATATACACACACACACACACACACACACACACACACACACACACACCTGTGTGTGTCTGTCCTTTGGCCTGTCCTTTGTTGGCTGGATATGTGGGCATGGCTCTGTTTGTGGTAAGTCGGGTCTGGCTTGAGGCAGACAGATGGCGTGTTTATTATTTTCAGGTTTGAGGTAAAAAGTGGTTGGATGAGTTGATAAAATGGATTGGGATATCCATGAAGGGACAGCTGATACTGGACTCTAATAATAGTTGACGGTAACAGAGGAAGAGACCACTGCAGGCAGGATGTCCACTCACTTCCTGTTCTGGGAGGGGACGGGAGGAGAGGGGAGGGTCTTTTGTTACTGGGACATCCTGCCCGAGGAGATATGTACCACACAGCTGCAGAAGAAATTTACTGGGGTGTCAAAAAACACAAGCGTCTTTCAGCGGTTGTGTCTCATATCTGATCCGAGTGTCAGGTGCTTTTGTGCTTTACCGCAGAGGGAAAAAAGACAACATATGATGCGACACTAATTAGTACAGGGAGGGTGCTACTGTGGGAACACGACCAAAATCTCGGACAAAAATAATTTCAACAGTTTCTGTAGACTCATTCTGTTGTGAAGTATGAAAAAGATGGTAAATCTGGAGGATAAACATATCAGGTTTTCCATTTTTCTATCCTGACTTGAACATAACTGGCCTCGGCAAAATAATGAAGCAGAAAACAACATCAAATAGCAAGTTTATCTACTTTAATAGTCCAAAACCAACAAAAACAAATGGCTAAAAAGGAACAAAGTATTTCTAAATATGTGACCCTCTGCAAGGCGTCCAGGTGGGTGGGACGAAATACATGTATTCAGCAATATTTTGGCATCACTAGAATTAGTATTCACAACATTTGTTAAAGGTAGAACCACTATTTTATAAAAACCTTTATAAATGATCATATGGAGGCATTGAGTCATGAAAGGGAAGTAAATGCATCCTGTTAAAATGTTGAAGAGAATTTTGAAGAGATTTTGAGATCCAGTTGATTGCTTATCAACTGGATACTACATAATGTACTCTACTATCACACACTGGATTCATAATATCATGGCAAACGTGCAGAATTCTGCAGTATAATTCAAATGTTCAGAGTGACTGAGTTAGACCCGAACAGAGTGATTGATGAGGAGTTTATGACTGAATAAGTCTTTGCATTTTGACCATTTTGTACATGTTAAATGTTGAATTATAGATGGTATACAGAGCTGTGTTTAAGGTGTTCATTTTATTGTGATGTTGCGTGAGCAATTTGTCTTGCATCAGGACAAAAACAGAAACAGATGACAAAACAGACAAAAGTGATTTCATCGCACCGCACAGTTTCTTTTTAAAACTCAACTCAAGCCCTTTATTTAAGGTTTGTTTATGTTCAGGATGTTAATCAAGTCAAAGTTAAACGGCAAACATTTCAATATCAAATCTGTTTATTATCAGTTCACATCAAATATTGTGACCATAGCATATTGTCATCCATTTATTGATAACAAAACCAAAGAACTACTCATGATGACATTTTGCTCTGTATTGCAGACGGATCAGTTCATTCTCTTAAAGGGCAGATCCGCCTGTTTATTGTAAACACCTTTGAACAGGCCGGATGGAGAAGGAGCTGATGAAATCATTCCTTGTGTACAGAAAAAACACACCAGATTCTTTTTCTCCTCTGGATGAACAGAAGAATTAACAAAGGACACAGAATATCTGGAGCTGGGGGGAGGGGGGGGGGGGCAGACGAGAGTTTCCTGTTTCCCACGTTAAAGGCAGACGATTGTCTGGAAAACAATTCAGATTCCCCCATTTAAATTATTTGTACTTAATGTTAGTCATTACTGTGATCACAGTTTGACCCGAGGCTACTGTAATGTGGGCAGCAGCAGATAGCTCCAAAACAACAGCGGAGCCCTTCAGCTGTGCTCATCACTGTGTTATCACCGGGCTAATCACACTGGGCGTTCGGGGATCCTGGTATGTTACGTGCATGCTGTGAGGTTATCATACAGACATTTACAGTAGTACAGTGATCCAGGGAGGTACTGTTTGGGGGATTTTAAGTCAAAAACTTCTACACATCAGTGAAAATGTCATAAATCTAGATCTAGATTAAAACTAAATAAATTAAGATATGGATGTAAAAAATATGAATGCGGTGCATCTTTCAGCACCACAGAGGCGAAGAGAGAGATGCTGTTTATTTCAATAAGCAGCCTACACTTTATTGCTGAACATTTTACTAATCCTCCCTCCTGTGGATAAAACAGTGGTTTGGTCTGACCTTTTCACTCAATATCACTGCGGCTGGAAGAGAGGTTGATGAGAGCAGTAAGACTGAACCAAAACAGTAAATTTATAGTACTGCAAAACCAAAACAATGAGCTGCTAGAAACGCTCTGCAGAGCTGAGGGGAACTGCAGAGTTTGGTGATAATTATCTGCGTGTTTGTCACTATGAGCGACTCCTTTCACGTTACACATTTCATCCATGGTTAACATAGAAATATTGATTGTTGTTGCTTTGAGTTGAATTTCTGCTCAAATTTGACAAGAGTTTACATAGAAGCATGGTTTCAAAAGCATTTCAGGATCTACATGTCAATGTAAATTAGGTCCTATCAACATTTTTACACCAAACTCATCCCAGTTAGACCACTAGGTGGCTTTTGACCTGCAAAATCACAAAGTCAGTCCTTACAGGGATTACTTAAATGCAGGAATGTGGCTGATGGGTGACACACATGTCATTTGAGAAACCAGCCTGCCTTTGGCTTGAAGGTATTGTCGTTCTGACTTCAACTATTGGGTATTAAAATTATTTCATCAAAGAAAATTCTTTAACCAAAGACAGAAATGTAAATCAACAAAATCTTTCAGTGTACGTCAACAGACGGACTGCATTCTTTATGTCTATTCTATACTTTACACATCGCAAAGTCACGACAGCATTTTGCCTTGCATCAACCCAAAGACGAACTCTGCTGCTGCCTCTGTATACTTTCATTTCCTAGTGACGACAAAGCGCAGCCCTAAAATGTTACATAATAACATTTCCTTTGTGTACTTGTGGCCGAATCAAAATAAACAGCGATAAATGCAGAAGCTCTCAGCCAGCGGACGCAGGTTTCGGCCAAAGGAATGTAGATGCTGTTATGAGCCGAGGCTTTAGCGAAGGCAGATGGTTGGTTCAGACAAACACTTGACTGTCTGAACCTCAGGGGTCAAAGGTCAGGAGAAAGTACCGGGGAGTGGGCAGAGAGGACAGGGGAAACCTCTCCTGCTCCTTCAGATGATTGGATTTGTTGTCGGTGATGAACGAGAGCGACGATACATCTTAAAAGTTTTCAGTGCTTCCCCCGTTTCCAGTCTTTACGCCGAGCTACGCTAACCAGCTTCATACTGAACAGCCATATAGTGGTAATATTCTTACATGAACGTGACTAAACATACCCAAAATGTGAAAACTACTCCTTTAATACAGGGACGAACACTAGACAACAACATACTCTTAAGTCATTGTCCTTTGCTAATGCTTTTCGAGGTTGTCACAGATGGACAGAGCTCATTTCCTGTGACACGGGACAGGTTAAAATAATGCACGCAGCACATGTCCCCGCTGACACACAAGTAAACTCAACACAATTCAATCAAGAGCTGTATTGTGTAATTTATGATGTGCTAAGATTAGACACATGGCAGGAGACATGGTCAGTGTGTGTCTGCATGCCTTTGTCTCTGTGTTTGTGGCGAGCAGATGGTGGGAGTGGACACACATGCCTTGACAGAGAGGCCATAGAGACACCCCCCCCCCCCCCCCCCCCTCCCTCCCTCCCTCCCTACCCGACCACCTCCTCCTCTCTGGTCCATAAAAAGCCACATATGACCTCTGACCACTGGAGTCCATTCTGATTGGGGGAAAGTGCTTGCAGTGGCCCAGCAGGAACAATGCTCAGTGGTCAGTGAGAGGAAGAGGAGGGAGGGTATGTAGACATGCATGGAGGGGAGGGGGGAGCAGTTCTCTACCTCTTGTCCCTCCCTCCATACAAACCCAGAAGTGAAGCTGTGTCACAACAAGCCAGGAACAAACGGGGAGCTTATTTTTTTTTCCATCTGGGGGAACGCAAGGATTCGGGCATGGCGGCGAAACGATCCAGCCACTGAAAAAAAAAAGACAAGTAGGGGCTCAGATTGCTTTCAGGAGAAAAAGGAGAGGAGGAGATTCTGGTAATAGGGAGAGTTTCATTCACACTGGGAGGCAAAACATACCAGACAGAGATAGAGACTTTGGAACAGGAAGGTGAAGGAGTGATCCTAAAACAGGAAACCGGCAAATAACAGGAGACTTCAGAGAGTGTCGCACCATGACTGCGTCTCTCGGTACGTACGAGCATGCACATGTGTGTCAGAGAGCTTTGTGTGTAAAAAACCCTTCCCAATCTCTCCAAGCCGTTTATGAACTCTAACACCTTTTCCCTTCCTCCTTGCGTTGGATATTGTTTCTCCTTCTCACAGCAGGATTTTTTTTTCCTGTTTTCTCCTCATTCTCTCTCCTGTTTATACAGCGTTATCTTTGTCTCTCCTGGGAATTTTAAGGAGGGTACACATGCACTGAAACACTTCACATCTCTCCTCCAGGCCGCTGGTATTTGCAGATAGCTTCTGGAATTATTTTTTTGTCAGATGCCTTTTCTCTTTTCAAGAAACAACCCCCATCCAAACTTTGTCTTTCTGTCTCTTTGTGCATGAAAATACTTTTTTTTGTGGGTCTGGACAGCTGTATGTATGCAGCCCCTCTGACATCTCACACTCGGTGG